AGCTGGGCGGTGGACGACAAGAAGCTCAGCTCAAAGACGTGGCCCTTTGCAGGCAAATGCAGAATTGTTTTACTTCGAACATCCCCACCTTGCTGCTCGTTCAACGGAAAGAGCGCAAATACGATGTTCAAACAAAGACACATTGATTCAACTACGCTTTCTTAGTTTTTGCTTGCAATTGGGGTTGGGCCAGTCCAGGGAGTCTCTGGGGCTGGGCACTCCAGGAGTCTCTGGGGGTGCATTTCAGGCAGTCTCTGGAATTGGGCACTCCAGGAGTTTCTGGGCGTTGGGCACTCCAGGGTCTCCAGGGTCTCTGAAATTGGGCACTGCAGGGAGTCTCTAGGAGTAGATCGGGCGAGGAGAAGAGTTCCGGGCGAGGAAAAGAGTTGAGTTTAAAATCAAACAACCCCACACCGAAGGTGGGGAAAAAGAGCAAGACGCGTAATCTAACTGTTACAGTAGTCTTTGTTTGCGCCAAGAGGCGCTGAGAATGACAGACGCTGTGCAGGTTCAAGGGCTGCATCTCGGCCAAGTCGAAGCCAGAGCCCGAGTGACAGGAGCTCAAGCGCAACACCCTCCGTGGGCAGCTCGCAGCCTGATGCTGTGGTGCTGCGCTGGCAACTGCCAAGCTGAGGGGCTTGGAGTCCCAGGGAGGCAACTGGTGCTGGAAGCTCTCAAACGTTAAAGGTACTCCTTGTGAGCACAAGCACACCGAGTCTGGAACTCCCTGGACAGGATGTGTTTGGAGCAGTGGCCAACTCTGAAACCTGAAGGGGAAGCAGCGGCGCATCCGTCTGGGGCGCGACCACCGCAAGAGGCGGCGCGGCGAGGGGCTGCACATGGCTGCGCAGCAGCTGACTCAAGGCTCCGTTGAAAGCCCTTGGCGAAAATCCACTGCTCATAATTGAGGAAGCATGGTGGCGTGGGTGAAGCGGCCTACGCGTTGCCAACAGCGTGGGTAGACCCGACTCACCTCAAGAAAGGCCCGAAAGAAGGACAGCACAAACAGCACAGTAGGACGGCGCAGGATGTCCTTGCAAGCAAAGGCCAAGCAACGGCGAGTCAGCCGTGCTCTTGGATCTCCTGCGCGGGCCTGACAAGACGCAAGCTGCCATTTTGCGTCGTCCTGCTGGCGGCTACGCCGTGGCAGGAGCTTGGTTCATCAGGAGCTCATCCCTCTTCACAGCAAAGTCTACTCTGCACCATTGGAGCAGTTTTGAAGACAAGGCCTGGGCACTTCGGTCGAGGTTGGTATCAGACGGGATCTCAACCATCCCTACTGCAGGGCCCAGGTTTGGGCCCTCCTGGGCTTGAGCTCCTGGTCCTGGGTCTTCCACGGGAGCCAGTCGTCGAAGGCAAAGCTCGTCCTCAGCACAGGCCGGAAGTACAGCAGGACGAGCTGGCAACTGATTGCTGTGTCACCAGCATAGCTTCAACTTGGGGTAGTTGGGGACTCTCTGGTGATGTGGTGGTAAATGGCACCTTCCACTGTGTGGCCTGCAGAACACCACTGTTTCAACGACCCCCCACACTCGCACCATCTTGCAGCTGAGCAGCTCAAGGAAATTGACACGTCCCAAGCATGCCAAAGCCCGATGTCTAGTGCGTTGATGCCTGCAGCTGTCGTCTTCAAGCATGAAATCGCTCCCGATGGCAACCGGAGCTCTGAAAAAAATGTGTATCCTAGTTTGAGCTTGCCTTGCTTAGCCTTACTTGCTTCCTTTGCACTGTTCAGCCTGCTTGCTTGCTCTGAGCTTGCAGGCCTCGTGGAAGTTTCGGAAGCGAGCAGATCGATTTCAATCTAGAACTCAGGGATTTGTGTTTAGGTTCCCAGACTCATCTAAGGCTTTCTTTCCAGGTCTTTGCCACGGTCGTGATTGACTTGGACTCCAGTGTCTGAAGTCCAAAGTGGTAAACACGTACAGTATTGCTCGTTTCCACAGTAAGTTGATTTTCGCCATATACCTTTCCCGGCCTGATTTGAAAAGTAGTGGCAAAAGACCTGACTTCCATGCAGTTGGAAGCCAGCTGATATCAGAAAGCAGTTGACCGATGGAATGATTGAGCGATTGACTATCTAGATACTTCACGCATGGTCAGCACTCTCGATCTTAAGTGCGCAAATGTTCGTCCCGACAACGTAAATCCGTTGAAGGTCCTTGCCACCCTCAACTTAAACCGAGATGTCACCTCAAATAGGCCAAGTCACCGGCAGCGAGAGTTGCTCAAGACGAGCATAAAGCAAACTTCTCTGTTTCCCCATATCGCTATCTGAGGCCATGATCCGGATTCCGTTGCTTTCTTCATTGCTGCGTGCGCCTGCCCGCGGCGCCACAAAATCCACCGAGAGCGCCGCGGAGCGGAAGCCGGGCAGCTCTGTCGATGCAAACAGGCAGCCCATATGTCTCGAGACAGGTGACAGGGGTCCAGGGGATCGGGGATCCAGCGAAATGGCTGCACGAGGCGTCAGGCCTAGCTTCTCAAAGTGGCAAAGCACGGTTGACAAGCCCAGAGCGCCAAGACTCCATCCAACTGGGATCAATCCTGTGGGCGAACACGGCCGAGCACGAGGGCAGCATGGTGCAATAAGGCGCTGAGCGACAGGAAACTTCCCGACGTCAAACATCCATAGTCAAAACTGACCAGCTTTCCCCACAAGTACCCCGCATCAGTTCGTGAAAAGACTTCAAATGTTCGGAAACGATCGGGCCAGCCCTGCACCAGAAAATGTCAGGAAAGCAGTCGTCGGCATCATGGGGGTTTGAATCGGGCATGGGAGCATTGCCCTGCATAAGCTTCCTGGGAATGCTGTCTGTGCTTGCTGCCTTTGCTGTACCTCCATCCCGTGTACACAAGGGGGAGACCCTGTCCCTACGGGGCCCATGAAAAAACAAGAACCCACGGCAGGACTGCGGACAGGGCCTATGGCCAGCCACCCTCTCGGCCCCCTCCACCACTCGCAGCACCCGTGTGCAGCAAGCCCTCAAACAAGGATGCAGGCCTGCACTTGGGAAGGTCGTTGTTTGCTTTACATTTCGGGGCTCTTGCGAAGCGCTCCAAGGCGTCCGGCTTTTGTAAGGGCCGAACAAAGAGGATCCCCCCAAAGCCGGCGGTCGCCCTTTGGGCGGGTCCCTTGCATTTGCCCCAGATTCTGGTTTGGGACAACGAAGTGCTTAAGTCATTGAATTGTGTGAATATTTGAAGCCGCTTATGTGCTGGCATGGTACCTGCAAAGCGTCGAAAGCAAAGCTTGCTCTAGCATCGCAAATGAAGGACAACGTCAGCGATTGGGCTTGGCCTGACGGACTGCGGCAGATGCAGAAAACGTGAGTGCTGCCCCCCACGTTGTCAAACCGATGTCAGAGCAACTCATTGGCACGCTCACTTTGACGCGATCTTCCCTCTCCCAGACTTCAGACTTAGAGCCGTGGCACATCCTCAGCGGAAGCGCAGGCATTCTCATGCTGCATGTGCAGCGTTGATAACATCACGAATGTCACGAATGCATCCTCTCCGTGCACGGCATTTTGCAGGCATGACCGTGGACGAGTCTGCTGTGTTAGGCAGGTTTTCTGGGCGCAGGAATGCCGAACACGACCCGGACCTGGGGTCCACTGTTTTCAGGATACTTGGGAGGCGTGTGCCTTGGCGCGCGATACTATGGAAAGGCACTCCATGGGACAAAAGGCACAACACTGAATGTCAAACCCCAAGTGCACCGAGGTTCGAGGCAAGCAGTCAGGATTGCGAAGTTCTGTGCGTGCTTGCATGTGCCTGCGGCCTGGGTAACGGAAGTCCCGCCAATGCAGGTGGGTGGGGACGTTTTACTAAGTGTCGGGTGTCTTGTGGAGGGATGGATTTGATCCGCAGCGATCAGTGCGACCGAGACCCTCTTGTTTCAGCAACCGCGCCAACCTTCAAATCTGGCCTTCGCAACCTGCACCTCTCAAGCCGGCCTCCCAGGGCTCCGAAGGCACCAACTCGCGACGGCGCAAGCACAAATGACCCTTCACTCCTCCGTTTGTTTCGACTTGCTGCGCCACAAATTGGTGAACGAGTCAGATACGAAGGGCAGGTGCTTTCGGCGCCACACAACAAGCCCTAAGTTGAGTCCCCCAGCGTTAAAGCATTCCCAGAAGGGCATTGTTGCGCCATTTGTTGGGAGGCACGCCTCAGTGCAGGGCCCCAGTACCGGCATCGAAGGCACGTGAAAACATGCTCTGGCTTCTGGACCCCAATTTCAGAGCAGCAGAACACGAACCCTCCTGCCGAAGAACGTCCGGCATGGTGGGTTGTGCTTGGGGGTGGGTTATGCATTTTAATGCCGAGCGAACCCCGAGTATCTGGACCCCGTTAGGCAACATCTGCAAGGGGTGATGCTATGCTCATGTGGTAGAATGTCGGCAATGAGCCAGAGTAACGACAGAGCAACGACTAACCATGCACGAATCGATCACGTTCAAACTTCACGAGCATGCACCCCGCGAAATCATCCCTACGTTGAGGCTTGCACTATGTGGATTGAAATGTCCCTGTCGAATCTGGATGGCGAGTGCTGCCAGAGAACCCTGAAGGCAGTTTGACCGCTGTGGTTCAGCATCTGTGCATGTTGGGCAGAAAACCTCCGAGGCCACAAGCCGTGTTGACCTTGTACGAGGGTCGCTTGACCTGGAAGACCTGGCCGGTGCCTCAGCTCTAAACCACGGACCCTTTACACAGGTCGCGCAGATGGCACCTCAGCTCTGGCATTCTCTACCATGGTCCTGGGGGCTCTTTGCATAGGCAAGCAGCACTCAGCGAAGGAGAGCAACGCCTGCATGACACAATGAGTTCAGAGCAAGGCTTCGCGGGAGCTGCTTCGTCCTCGACAACGCGGCGCCTTCTCTGAGAACGTATCGGCTTTTGTAATGCCACAGGACATTGGACCTTGCGGAAGAGTGAGACCAGCGCCTGGTCTCGACGCACCACCTCCCGAAGAAGAAGAAGAAGGATTGGAAGAAATGCCCACTGGGCAGGGTGAGAGCAGTACGGTGCAAGAACTCATGGAGACCGATGGCAGTGAGAGAGTTCGACTGCTGAAGAACATGGGGCACGCGGGCCCAAGAAAGATTGCTCGTATTGGCCCATATACCCCAGCAACTGAGCCAATGAACAAGCCACAAAGAGTTTCATCATTGCATCGAGCGATTGCAGCAGTGATGCCTGCCTCTCAATGGGTTGCTTCGGTTGTTGGTGTGAATAAAGTTGTCGGTAGAGACGGCACCAAGATTGATGTCGAAGTGAATGCTCAAGAAGGAGATATGGGGCGGGAGTTGCGATTGGCAGAACCACTGTTGTGCGAGAATGACTTGATCCTGAAGCGGGATCAAAAATCGGGAGTGCGACTTGCCGCCTCCTGCGCGATGCTCCAGAGAGCGCGGAGGATGGCTGGGTCCGCGTCGAGTCTCTCCCGGCACCAAGGGCGCGAGGCCACAGGAATCTGGAGGGCTCTGGGGCATGGCTGGTGCTGCCTGGCCTGGAGTTGGGAAGCTGGCACCATCAAGGAACTGATCCTGGCTCTCTCGCCCGAACAAGAGAACGGGACGGGCACAGGCTCATCTCCTTCCGAGGTGGAGGCGGACAATGTAACCCGAAAGACTCGGAGTTCAACATTCGAAGCCGATGTGTTTGTGCAGGGCTCGGCCACGTACGTGGAGAGACCTCATTTGCCGGTCTGTTGACGGGCCCAACTGCGCCCGTCGCTCGCTCTGCTGAGCTTCCGGCATCACACACAGGCTTCTTGCATTGCAACGAAACATGTGATTCATCATCTTCACCACGTGCCCATCTAGAAGAACGGCTACGGCCATCAGTTCACACTTGCCGCGAGATGCAGTTCGTGGGTCGGCCTTCGGCCATCAAGCTGCTATCTCCTTGAGGAATGTGGAAGGCAAGAGCACAGGCTTAGCGCACGCATTTGCCCAGAACTGAAGATGTGCAGGAAGGCTGAAAGACACGTGCCTGGGCGTGATGCAGCGCCGCTCGATGGCAGCTCAAAGGACACGCACCAGGTTTCCCGATGCACTCCAAGCATGTCACGGATCTAATTCTTGGATCTCAGACATGAGCCCGGAAGCTGCGAAAAGAATATTACGTCTGTTTTGCACCGAAGTGAGCTGTCGCCAAAAAATAAATGAATTTGTTCTCGCGAGCTTTCGCACGGCCTTTACAGGTCTCTTCGCGAACGGACGCACAAGTGTTACACAGGGGTTGCACCGACGCGGACTATCACGGAAAGGTTCCAGCCCTATCGCGAGCTATCACGCACTCTAGCGACCAAAGCACTCTCACAGAAGCTATCACACGCTCGCGCACCTCGGGAGGTAGCTGACGCAGCCCAATCATAAATTAACACCTTATTTTACTTTCATGGAAGGTCTATGCCACCGCTTAAGTGGTTTCTCGGCATTTCCCTTGCACAGCAGTCGACTACATCAATCAGACGCCCTTGGAAGAAGTTATAGTTGCTAAGGCTCGTCCAGCGCTTCAAGGCTTTCTTTAAAGGTCTCGCGGGTTTAGTTACGCCTTTTGCTGGGCGGGTCGCCTGAGCCCAGTATGCGGAGCCACTGCGGCATGCCGGCTGAAGTGGCAACGATTTGAAGCAACGGCGTGAAAGCTAGATGTCAGCACTCTGGAAAGGAGAAGCAAGAATTTTCTCCCTGGCCTTGAGTTGGGAAGCTGGCACCATCAAGGAACTGATCCTGGCTCTCTCGCCCGAACAAGAGAACAGGACGGGCACAGGCTCATCTCCTTCCGAGGTGGAGGCGGACAATGTAACCCGAAAGACTCGGAGTTCAACATTCGAAGCCGATGTGTTTGTGCAGGGCTCGGCCACGTACGTGGAGAGACCTCATTTGCCGGTCTGTTGACGGGCCCAACTGCGCCCGTCGCTCGCTCTGCTGAGCTTCCGGCATCACACACAGGCTTCTTGCATTGCAACGAAACATGTGATTCATCATCTTCACCACGTGCCCATCTAGAAGAACGGCTACGGCCATCAGTTCACACTTGCCGCGAGATGCAGTTCGTGGGTCGGCCTTCGGCCATCAAGCTGCTATCTCCTTGAGGAATGTGGAAGGCAAGAGCACAGGCTTAGCGCACGCATTTGCCCAGAACTGAAGATGTGCAGGAAGGCTGAAAGACACGTGCCTGGGCGTGATGCAGCGCCGCTCGATGGCAGCTCAAAGGACACGCACCAGGTTTCCCGATGCATTCCAAGCATGTCACGGATCGAGACAGGTCAGGATGGAAGCTTGAAAGAAGCCTCTACCGCATCGCTTCAAGATCCCTGGAAGAGGCAGCCTGAGCTTGCTCATGCTTGCCCTAGTAGAGCACATGTTGGACCGAGATTCGGAGGAAGGCCGAAAGACACGTCCCTGGGCGTGATGCAGCGCCGCTCGATGACAGCTCGAGCGGCTCGAGGGACTTGCACCCGGATCCCGATGCACTCCAAGCGTGTCACGGATCTAGACAGGTCAGGATGGAAGCTTGAAAGAAGCCTCTACCGCATCGCTTCAAGATCCCCGAAAAAGGCCGCCGAGACTTGCTCACACTTGCCCTAGGTGCGGCAAGATATGCAAGCTTGGATTTGACCGCAGACGTAAGGCGTCAGCCACAGAAAGCCATCCTAGCTAACACCCCGCCCCAGCTGTGAAACGGTCCTGCGGCAAAGCATCCGCGAGGAGGTCCAGCGTCATGGCTTGTTTCATCTCACCTGGTCGATGCGCCACGGCCACGCTGAGGCATTGCAGAGCTGCCCAACTTCACTTGTTGTTTATGGGGTCAGACCCTCAATGGCGAGATCCCCAGTCCTTTTGGTCAACACCCCTTGTTGTCGGACAGGCTCATGGGAGATCGGGCAAATCAGCAGGAGGCGACACCAAAGAGAGCCTGTTGCGAATGCTTTCACATCGCTGGTTTTTCGACGGGAGGCCGGATGGCATGTGGAAAACTAGGCAATGCCAGAATGGCAAAGTTGGAACTTTGCCCTCGAAGATATGATTGTGACTTTGCCCGACGACAGGGCCTCGTGTTGGGGACTGAACCTTCTTGAGAATCGCATGGAAGAGTCCGGGCCAGATGAAAGGACGCATGGTCTGGGCCATGATCATGCTCCCCGAGCATTGGGACCGTTTTGGGAATGGTTTGCGGGAGACAATGGCCATGCCTCGAAGACACTGCATTGCGTAGCCTTCATCAGGTGTGCTCTAAGAGACTGCTGAGCATCCTGCATCTGCGACGTGCAGGTTAGTTAGTTTCGAAGCGAGGTGGCCCAGCCAGCGCTGAAGCCGAGGGTGTCCCATCCCAGACGGTGGCCAGGGCTTATTCTCCAGAATTCCTAACGCGTGGCTCTCGTGGATCAGTTTCTGCAATGGAGCCGCCAGTACAACTGTAGACTTGCTTAAGCGCTCCTGAGGAACAATAGCTGAGCAAGTTTGAGCCAAGCCGCCGCGCACGTGGGGGGCGCAGCACTTCGAGAACTATAACGTCGTGGCGCGAAGAGAGCGGGACTTATTGCTCGCCTTCTGTATCTTCGCTGCCGGCAAAATCAGAGTCTGCCAAATCACTGTGGCAAGGAAACAACTTGGCCGACCCCGGCAGAGGCCCCCTCGCGACCTGTCTTGCCTCCAAATCAGAGGTCCGGCGCATGCCTGGGCATGCCAAGGTCTTGCCAGAGCTTGGCGGCTCCCGCCATCCTCCAACTACACAAGATCCAGAAGCTGCCAATCACAGAAGGTCCTCCCCGGAACTCTCCCCTTTCATTGTCAGGATGCCTGGCGTCATGAAGCAAAAGTCGCCGGGGGTTCCCCCATGCGAGCGGCATGCACAGCCCGCAGAGCAAAGGTGCTCTCTGAGTCTTGCCAGCTTCTGGTTTGGGACCCGGGAGTCAAGCTGCGTGAAAACCAATGGGTTCAGCTGACGACGAGGCAGCCGTGCCGTATAAGCCCAGAGGGATCCCGACGCGTCGGCGAAGACACAGTCCAACACTTCCCAGGAAAGCTGTTGGGTCACGAGACTAAGGCTGCACATCTTGGGAAGGGCACCTGTGCACTCAAGCTCGGGAGGCCTGATCGAGGGCTCATGGCATTCATCGGTTTTCATGGAGATGTTATGGGAGGGGGGTCTGACAGGGGGTGGGTGCAGCGACTGCTTAACACGCCCTCAGCAAGCACTCCAACACAATTCTTTTCGAGAAGCTGTCGAGGTCCGAGCGCTTAGCGAGGGCTTAGCGAGTGCTTGCCGTTAGACCCCCCTCCCATAACATCTCCATAAGGTTTACAAGATGCCCTCCCGGTAAACTGAGTGACTCGAACTTGCTTGAAGTCTCGGCGCGTTCCGCTGTGTTCCGGACGCCGGCCGCAGGCTGAACCGATACTTAAAAACAAAGCGGGCTGCGCCACTGCAGCAATCGAGAGGGAGCCAGTCAACGTCGAGGCATAAAGTTTGTCATAAAATGATCTTGAAGATGTTGGCGCCTCCTATCTGCGAAAAGTCTGCAAACCAATCAGAGCAAGAACACTCTCATGTGCAATATGAAGCAAATGTGAGGGGCGCCGTGCAGTCAACACAGTTGCAACTGCAGGCCTCTTGGCAGGTGACATAAATGAACACAGCACCTGCAGTCCCAGAATCAGGGAAGCACATGGCTGAAATTGCCTGGTGGTGCGGGCTTGCCTCTGGTTCCGAAAAGACCTTCACCTGGGCAGTGACGGTTTCAAGCCAGCTCGGACGTACCGATGTGCCTCAGAGGCATCGCTCGAGCTAGTACTGCCAGAACTTCTCGCAACGGAGCAGCTGCTCACCGTGGCGGTAGTGCCAGACTCAGCAGGGACCAACTCTGGGCTCACACGGCCGGCGACTCCAGCCAATGGCTGCCGCTCGCACCGGCTCGGCACGGGCCGCGACGTGGATGTCGGCGCGGCGGGCAGCCCTGCGCGCGGAAGCTGCGGATGCAGACCGAGAGCTCCTGGAACATGTTGGCGGCCAAAGTGGCAGAGCCAACACCCTCTCGAGCCGAAAATTTTGGCCAATGCTCAGTTCGAGATGCTGAAACCATCTGAAGGCCTTGCAGGAGCTTCAGCGGGGGTGCGGTCTTCTGGCTGCAAGCCCCATGAGTTCTGGCTGCTCCCGGCAGGGCTTCACTCGACACTAACAGCACACCGCTGTAGGCACAAGTCACGTTGGCAGAGTTGTTGCCTCAAGACGAAGGATATGCTTGCTCAAGACTCAGCGCAGCGCTCGAAGGTCAATGAAGTATGACTGCCCGGACCTGACTCTTCTGCAAAATGCCTGGTCAACCGGAACACGCACGCGCGTGTGGCTGAAAGCCCCGGTTTGTCGCGGAAAGCGAAGAGGACTTCGAAAGAAGAGAATCTTTGCTTGGTTACTGCGTGGGCCGGTCGAGGCTGTGTGGCGTTGTATGCCGACTTCGCGCATAACCCCTGCAGTTGTCAGGGAACTTATCCCCTTCTGTATGTGAAGGGGGTACGCTCGAACCTGCAACATTGCAGTTTCAACGTCCCCGCCCCCCACCCCCCCGGCCCCAGCAGACAGTTCTGGAGCATGTTCGGCAAGCACTGCGTATTCCAAGCTCCAATTATGTGTGTGCGACCTGCCCGAGAAGGCAGCATGACAGGTATCCAGTCGGAGGCAAGATTAAGATTGGGGTGACCACAATGCA